CCATGGACCTGTAAGAAGGCCGAAACGATGATTTGTGCGAAAAAACATAATGTAAACATTTAAATGTGAACAATCTCAATACAGGCTACTAAAAAACCGACTTCAAAAGTCATTCATCTCCTAGTTTGCCACCCTTAGAGGTGGAATATTTTCTTCAAACTTAGATGAGACCACTACTGAGATACCCTCTTTCCAACAAAAAAAGGATAACAAAAATCGGTTCACAAAGGAGTTACCACGTAACGTACATACCTAGGTACAAAAAAAGCCTCCTTTTTTAGAAGTCAATTAAAAAGTAGTTTAATTTCCCCAGTCAATAATCATACAGTCATCAGATTTAGTAGCAGTAGAGCTCCTTGAGTTCGTCCAGGGAAGTACTGCCACCTTATCTATTTCTGCCACCAAGCAGTAACGTGTTACGCATTACTGAGTTTCGATTTCGAAGGGTAAGGATAGTGGTGAAATTACAGGCATATGAGACTTGTTAACTTATATCTCAGAATGACGGACGCAGTGACAGTGCCCCTCAGATCTATGTTATTTAAAGCTCTGAGTGGGAGTACAACTATTATGGGCAGACGTGTAGCTTACCACCAGCCCCAGGATATGTTCGTAACGTCACATTAAAAAATATCTCCTAGAAGGGCTAGATTCTCGAGAGTTCTGTGGTCGAATTTTTTTTCTTAATTTCAGGAAGAACATTGAGCGGGAAGGAAAACGAACTCAAACTTAAATAAAATTCCATTAATTGGACAACTAGATTCTTAAGAATTAATGACATATTTGATCCACCGAATTCAGCTACCATCGAAATCAGAATAATTCAACAAAAGGCATAATTTTATATAAAATATTACAAAAAAAGGCAATAACAACAAACCAATAAATATACGAATATCATATTATTAAAAACATGATAGCTATTCAATAAAAATAGACAATATTAAAATAAAATATATTAAAAGACAATTTTTATTTCAGACCCAAAATGAAGTTCAAGCAAGAACTCCTGACGCAGCCAGCAGGTGAGATGTGGAAGAAGATCAGAGAAGAGCTAAACGAAAATGTCAACACGAGAGACCAGGACCTCATCGCTATTAAGGATTGGCTTAAGAAGCAACCACATCTTCCTGATGAATGGGGTAAGGACAAATATACTGTCTATTATTGGGCACATGTTTCCACTAAGAAGAGGTGTTAACACACCAGAGGTGGGCAAATATTTTCATTTAGGGCCAGAAAATAAAAAAAATCACAGGGTTAAAAAATCGCCATGTACAGCCGCACACATTCGCATAAACCTAAGAACTCGATACGTAACTAGGTAGGTAACAAACAACAATAGACACCTACTCGTTAAACTGATGTTTATACAAAAATATTTTTCTGGATATACCCAAGGTTGGTAGGCCAATGTACCCAAGTGTTAAAATTTGTTATTGACTTTTTAGAGTTACCTGTTTTGAGTCTGTGGTTTTTGCTTAGTTTTTGTAACCATTGACCAATTTTAGGGTCGGCAGACTTAAAAACATAAGTCAAAAAAGGAAACAAACGGATTTTGTTGTTCCATGTTGTTTTTGATGTCGGAAGATATGAAGAGAATGATACAATTGAAAAAATTCTCGGTCACACACGGTCAACGACCGGTGTATGCTGCTGGCATCCAGCGTATTCCCGCAAACTTCACTAAGTCATCGGTCCATCTTATGTTGGTCTACGTGTGTTGGTGTACGTCTTCTCTTCAGAATTCTTTGGCCCCAGCGACTATCTCGATACCTCACACGTAAGTTCTAGTAAGTCAAGATACCATTTTTGACTTAAATATATCCTTTTTATATTTATACGTATATTCTAGGTTCCATATTTAAAAGTAAAGAAGCCAGTTAGTGTTATATTTACATTCAAACAATATACCTATAATCTACATAAACAAGAATATATTTAAGTTAAACACCAAAAAATGATATTTTGACTTACAACTTACGTTCGAGGTATCGATCAGTTATGTATGTGCTACTTAAGTTTTGCAATTCTTTGGGTTATATCAGTTACTTTGATTCTTTTATGTCTCACTTTACCTTAAATGAACGATGTTGGTTAATGACTTATGTGCTTTGGTCTGCCGACACTAGCATTACGGTTTTCAAATTTATTCTCAGGGCCTCTTGCGGGTTAAAACAGTATTATGATAATTTATGTTCGTTCCACTCCGTACCTGATATTTATTGTTAATTAATTCTAAATACATTGATTCATATACTCGTAACAGCTAATAAAAAAACGTTGCAGAAATAAAAACAATCAGTTTGTTACGGTCAGAACAATCTTTTGTTTATAACGAGTCAAGTGAAATATGTTCTCGGAATATAAAAGACACTTCATCTTTACGAGATTGTTGGCAATTGGTTCGTTACGAAATAACAATAATATGCAAAGATAAAAATGTGACGTAGTTACGAGGAATAGAGTGCATAACATGATAACAAACGAAATGTTAAAGTAGTAAGTACCCTTTGTGCTATTTATTACACATGTGCAAAATTACAACTTTTTAACGAGACAGTTTAAAGACTCTACGGATGAAATAATTTGATACGATTTTATGCTTATTGCTCAGCAGACTGAGGGGAAGCACGACCACCATTTTACATACTTGATAGATATGACATCTTTCATTTCATTATGAAATCTTTCATTCGGGTCCTGATGACGTTCCTAATGATCCGGATGTTTGGGTCGGGATGCAGGTGAAAGATCTGAGAGTCGACTGTCTTTTGACTTTTTGTATATTAATTTTTGTGAAACAATATATTATTATTACTACTAACCTAGTCTTTAACTTATACATATTTGTAAGTTACTAACAATATGGGACTTTAAAAAAGTGTGTTGTCTGAATAAGTAATTATATTATTATATAGGAAAATTATAAAATATCACTTAGACGACTTAGGTGGCCGATTCCCGGTGGGACTAATTTGGGGAATGAACTGTTCTAAATTGCTTCTGGTCTGGGTGTTCTGGGACGTGTCCCAGAGAGAATTCCGTTGCTCTGGTATTCATAGTACAGGGAATTCCCTAGTTTGAGTAACAATGGAACGAAGCAAAGTAAGAATGACGAAGAAAAGGAATTAGATATACAAAATTTCAAAGTGGCCAGGAACCAGAAAAGAGGGTAATAAAAAGGCGGGAAGGAGGTCGCATCGCAAAAACACTTTTGACGTATGATAATTACATTGTTACACTTTACGTTTCGGATACTTTGCAATCAGTTTTTTTTATATCTAATAATAATGCAAACCACCCTACCTCACCAGTTTACCTTTACATCTCAGTCACTGTTACTATGGGACTTGTAAAGGGCCCGAAAAAGCAAAGACGATTTATATCCGAAAATTGTAAAAATAACGGACCTCAAAAATTTGTGGAATTACATCTATTTACCAAATAAAAACAAGATACAATTGACCGACAACAAGTAGGTACATAGAAAAATGCGTGAGGTCCGCTGGTTCTTTCCGTGGCTTAGTTGGCATAGCGTTTGGCACGGTTCGCTAGAAGACGTCGGTTCGAATCCGACAGGATCGAAGGAATTTTTTCTAGGTGTTCGATCTTTGTATTAATAATTACAACAAACTAGTGGAGTAATTTCACAAAAAAATTATTGAACATCTTAGTGGGAAAACGTTCTGACGTTCAATAAAAAAACACTTATTTTGCTAGTTTTATCGAATTCGGTTGCGAAATCGAATTCATCCCCTAGTTTGCCACTCTTAGATGTAGAATATCTTCATCAAATTTCAATGGGACTAATTACTGAGGTATCTTCTTTCCAACAAAAATAGAATTATGAAAATCGGTTCACAAAATCGCGTTACATACACAAAAAAATACATTCGAATTGAGAACCTCCTCCTTTTTTGAAGTCGGTTAAAAGTAATTGAATTTCTAAGAAGAAATTTTCAATGTTATATGGCTAGATTTATTTGTGATTGGCTATCTAAATGTTTCAAGTGAAAAGTCCTTATGTAGTACAATTGAGATAGTGTTCAAAATGCACTCAAGAACTCTATACTCACTATAAATTGACACAGTGACTTTAACCACGTAACATCCTTACCTTCAACGCGTTAAGGCAGTGTGGTAATTAATACTAATCCTAATGTTCTTGAACAAACGCTGTTGTGTCACCACACGCGCTTGCGCAAAAATCGTTGCACGCACATTCAAGGCGCTCAAAGGACGCGGCCTTTTTTTGATAAATATTTCGTACCCTTGGTATAGTACAACCATATGATTTTGTAGCAGTAGAGCTCCTTGTGAAAGAGTTCGTCTACTGCCACTTTACCTAATTCTGCCGCCAATTACAGCTTGGCGAACATTACTGCATTCTGGTTTCGAAGGGGAAAGGTACTGGTGAAATTGCAGGCACATGGGACTTGTCAACTTATGTCTCAGGGTGTCGGGCACGGTGGCAGTGCATCTCAGATTAGTGATGAAAGAGACTCGGTCTTTTAAAGCTTTTTATAACGACTCGACTCCATTTTACAGGACTCGACTCCAAAATTAAGACTGGGGGTTCGAGTTTTTATTAATAAAACTCAGTCGTTACACTAAAAGACACAAAAGACTTAAGCGACTTGAACAACTTAAACGACTCGGGTTGTTTGCCAAGGACTTATACTTATTTTATGCCTTATTAAAACCGAAATTAGAATAGAAATAAAATCACGCCATACGTCTCATGACTCGCAAATCCCAAGGCTATGAGGCGCCAGTCGTCTTAGTCGTTTTACTCCTATAAGTCTCTTAAGTTTCCTAGGGTTAAAAGACTGCGACTCGAATTAGTCTTCAGTTTTAGTCTTATGACTCAAGACTTGAGGGTTAAAAGACTAGACTAGTCGTGAGGCGTTGAAAATTAGTCGAGGTTTTTTAAAAGGCCAGAAGACTAGGGGTCGTATTCTAGAACTCGACTCAATGCTCAAGTCTGGATTTGAGTATGATTTCAAGCACTGGAAATACGACCCTAATGGCAAGGACTTGAGTATGATTTCTAGTGCTTTGAATCATACTCAAGTCCTGACTTGAGCATTCAATACTCAAGTCAGGACCTGAGTATTGCAGTGAGCACTGAAAATCATACTCAAGTCCCTGCCACTAGGGTCGTATTTCCACCCAGAGTCTCTGTCATCACTATTTCAGATCTTTGCGATTTAAAGCTCTGAGTAGCATTGCAACTGTTAGGGATAGGCGTGTCGCTTACCACCAGGCACATCATGATCATCCTGTCATTTAGTATTATAAAAAAAGACGTGATCACACGTCAAAGGTGCTTTTATGACATGAAAGTTCTAAAAATTATACGAACCACATGAAACAAATTATGTATACGTAAAATTTTACAACTCTCCTATTTTATAGTCGATACTACCTCAGCTCGAATTGAATTTTTTCCCATTCTAATACGGTTCATTTTGCTTAGGTCGAGCGGCAGGGACACTGGATTTGTTTCAGAATCAATTTATTTACTAACGAAATTAAAGCTTTTTGAAAAATGTATATCGTACACTATACGATACAACCTCAAATGGCTTTGTTTGATACCGCGTAACAGTGAGCCATTCAATTTTAACTTATTACTAGTTATTACTAAAGGTGGGTTATTATATAGTGTATACTCCGCATATTAGCTTGGTGCAGCAAGCGAACTAGGTCAAGTCTGAAAATCAGCAATCCTGAGTCTTTAACCTTTTTGTCCACATCACTCAATTGTTTTTTTTCTATTCGTTTTTTAAGTATTGTGTTCTTTGTGTTTTGTGGACAAATAAATACCTTTTTATTTTATTTTATTTAAAGTGTAATAAAATTGGGGATATACATTGATTAGTGTGCAAACACGAATCCAAAAAATTTGCAAGAAAACCGCTGCATTCAATACGTACTTTACATATACCAATATTTTTTTTCATCAACTGAAACTTTTTAACTGACTCCATGATCGAACGGTTTCCATACCGGACTACCATGCCATCCAAATATGTGTATGGCCTACATTTATTTGTCTCTATTTAGTTAAGTAATTTACAGTTGTCTAATGTGTGTGTCCATGGCACTCGCGACACAAGGTTTCCCTAGTGCGGGG